GAAAAAGCCCTCAATCCTTCTCACCTGTCGACAGGCAAGCAGAGCTCGCCAGGGTTCTTGTAGGGCGCGCACTCCTCCCCCCGTGGCCCCGTGGCGTAGAATCCTTTGCTACATACACACACACCTCCGAACGGGGTCTGGCAGTCCGCGTCCTTCACACACTGACCCAGGCCCGTGCAGAACTGACCCACGGGAACCTCTGGCATACAGATACCTTCATCTGGGGAGGAGTGAGGGGAGTGGGTGGTTGGCAGGTGCTCCGGTGTGGTTTACTCCTTCTGTCCTATCAAACATCTATCGTCCTTATCTTATCTCTCCTCCTTCTATTTTGTGTTTGTTACTCTCTTGTAACACCTCTAATCTTCGACACATATAATATGACCTTATTGTTTTGAAGGTGCCCGTAAAACTCTTACTAAAGCTAAAAAAAGAAGTGAGGGGGCAAACATGATAATGAATAAATGTACGTAAGAAATAAATGTATCGCTACTCAATGGAACAATCGTTCGTCATTTTGTTTTTGCTTTTGTTTTTATTCTGTTTTTCTGTGTGTTTTTTTCTTTCTTTTTATGGGCATATGAAGTTATTGTCCTTGTTCATTTGTCTTGCTTTTGATGAAAGAAAAAGTACCCATCTGTCTACCTCGAATAGAAGTCGAAATATTTGCTATTGAAGGACGTGGTGGTGGTAGTGAGGTTTGGGGAGGAGGGGTTTGCCTTGTGGCAGAGGTTAATTTGTAGCGAGAAAATGGCCGCCAATGTTTGGTGACTTTCAAAGCTCGAGTGTCCATGGAAACTGCAAATTTACATTTATTTTTAGCCTTTGGTCTTTGCCGTTAAAAAAAAACAACATACATTTTTCTTAGATTCACTCATGATTGTGCTTTTAAATAGACATGGCAGTGGTTGAGTCAAACTAACAAACGTGCACATAAATAACCCCCACACAAATAACATTTAGACAAATATGTAAAGAAACAGTAGGAGAGTATACCGTTGTAGAATCCCGGGTCGCAACATATTATAAACCAACAGTAGGTGAGTGTACCGTTGTCGAATCACGTGCATATCTCTGCCCCACACACACTGGGACTTGGACACACAGACAGGACAAACAAACACACAGACAAACAAACCAATAGTTGGTGAGTAGATCTATACCGTTGTAGAATCCCGGGTCGCACGTGCATATACCCGCCACACACAAAGAATTGGACACACTGGACAAACCAACATACAGACAAACAAACAAACAGGACTTTGACTCACATACTGGATAAACAAACATACAGACAAACAAACCAACAATAGGTACACATAAAAAACACACAAATAACATTTAGACAAACATATAAACCAACAGTAGGTGAGTGTACCGTTGTCGAATCACGTGCATATCTCTGCCCCACACACACACAGGGACTTTGACACACAGACAGGACAAACAAACACACAAACAAACAAACCAACAGTTAGTAGGAGAGTAGATATATACCGTTGTAGAATCCTGGGTCGCACGTGCATATACCCGCCACACACAGACTGAGAGAGTTGGACACGCAGACAGGCCAAACAAACATACAGACAAACAATAGATCTATACCGGTGTAGAATCCAGGGTCGCACGTGTATATCTATGCCCCACACAGGGGCTTTTGACTCACAGACAAGACAAACAAACACACAGAGAAACAAACCAACAGTAGGTGAGTAGATCTATACCTTTGTAAAATCCCGGGTCGCACGTGTATATCTCTCTCCCCCCCCCCTCACACAGGGACTTTGACAGACAGACAAGACAAACAAACATACAGACAAACAAACCAACAGTTAGTAGGTGAGTAGATCTATACCATTGTAGAAGCCTGAGTCGCACGTGCATATACCCACCACACACAGAGACTGAGAGAGTTGGACACACAGACAAGCCAAACAAACACACAGACAAACAAACCAACACTTAGTAGGTGAGTAGATCGATACCGTTGTAAAATCCCGGGTCGCACGTGTATATCTCTCTCCCCGAGAGCTCACACAGGGACTTTGACAAAAACACACAAATAACATTTAGACAAACATATAAACCAACAGTAGGTGAGTGTACCGTTGTCGAATCACGTGCATATCTCTGCCCCACACACACACAGGGACTTTGACAGACAGACAAGACAAACAAACATACAGACAAACAAACAAACCGGACTTTGACACACAGACTGGATAGACAAACACACAGACAAACAAACCAACAGCAGATGAGTAGATCTATACCGTTGTAGAAGCCTGGGTCGCACGTGCATATCCCCGCCACACACAGAGAGTTGGACACACATACAGGACAAACAAACACACAGACAAACAAACAAACCAACAGCAGATGAGTAGATCTATACCGTTGTAGAAGCCTGGGTCGCACGTGCACATCCCCGCCACACAGAGAGTTAGACACACAGACTGAATAAACAAACACACAGACAAACAAACTAACAGTTAGTAGGTGAGTAGATCTATACCGTTGTAGAATCCTGGGTCGCACGTGCATATTCCCGCCACACACAGAGAGTTGGACACACACTGGTTCGGGCCTGTACATGGCAGGCCGGCGTCTATCTCCGTCCTACACTGGGCTCGAACCTGGGCCATACAGAACCATGGTTAGAACATGGGCATCAAGAGTGAGGATTGAGGGTGGATGGGTGGGTGGGTGGTAGAGTAAAGTGTGAGGAGAGAGGGATGGTGAGGGAGAGTGTGATGGGAGGGAGGAGAGAGAGGA